GATCAAAAAGGACAAAATCTGGGACTGTCACTCAGTTATGCTGAATTATGCAGCAGGAGATCTGAAAGGCACATTTTCATGACTGCTTTAATATACAAAGAATTCTTGCAAACCGATAAGATAAACGGAGGAAACACCAATATAAAAATGGGCAATGGACATTATAACAAATTGTCTTCAGACACTCAGAACCATTTCTTCCCTTCTATGTTCTTCTCTGCACCGAAATGGCTGGAAGAAACTGTCAGCGGGATTCTAGTTTACAAGCCACCAATGAGAGGAATTTCTGTGAGACTTCTGAGAGTAGAAGAGAAGCAGAGGCCGTTGTTCACCCTGTAACAGTGTTGTGCAAGAATGAAGGCTTCAGCCAACAGCACACGTGAGGTTTGCCAGGAGCTTCTGTATTCTGCACGTTATTAATGCTTCGGGCTGCTGAACTCATCAGTGTGGTTTCCTGATATCCATGTACTTCCAGACGTCCTGAAAGCAAATAGCAGCTTTCCCTGATCTGTTTCTCAATCTTTCCTAACTGTCTTATAAGAGTCTGATTCCTTGTATTAAATCACTTCCTGCTTGAAATACCTACAACAGTTTCTGAATAAACCCTGACTGACAGGAGCATGGACAAGCAATCACAAAAGAATAAATGGAAATGTCAAATTGTATGAAAAGACACTCATAATTAAAGAATAAAACTTTTTAATGAGATATTCTTTACTTATCACATTGACTAAGGTTTACTTCATTTATAAATACTTATGTACTTGGCAAGTGGCAAAAATAATCCAGATTCTGTCATATGCTACTTTTACAAGTTTACGTTTTCCATTTCCATTTGTAAAACCTTTCTAAAAGGCAATATGTGTTATAACCTTTCAAGTGTTCATGATTTTGACCCTTTAATTTTACTTATAGAAGTTAATCTTAAGAGAAACTTAGAGCACAACGCTATATATGAGTATCACAGTAAAAGTTATAAATCATACATTTTCAAAAAAGCTAAATATCCAAATACTAAGTATACAAATACTTAAATTTATCATGACATATACATTTAATGGAATTACTGTGAAGCTGTTATAAATCATGTTTTGGCAGAAATCTAGTAACATGAGTATGTGTTCATAAAATAATATTAAATGAAAAAGATATATAACTGTAGATACAGTAGGATCACAGTATTGTATATAATGTACATATACACAGATAGTAAATACATATATAATATATTATATATATATTTCTATGTATATCATTTATATACATAGGTTAAAAAATGGGAAAATGTACCAAATATTTAACAGTGGCTATTTCTCCAAGAATAGAATTATAGACTTTTTATTTTTATACATTTCTAACTTTTCAAAGTGTGCTATTATGAACATATATTTTATAATGAAATACAGGTCAATAAGCATTTTAGTGTGCCTATAATAGCACATCAGCAGGTGGAAAAATGAAATAAAGCATTTCTATATTTGGTACAGACATTGATTTAGGTGTTTCACTCTCCTGTCAGATGATATTTGGCAAAGGTATTGAAAAACTTTGATTGATCTGTCTCAACTCACATTTGCTATGCAAGAGCAAAGTTTTATTATTTTAAAGGAATAATTTACCTGATCTAGCTATAGGCGCACTTGGCCTCATAGTCCCACCGTAACATTAATACACTGTAGGGATGGGATGTCACCACTCATAGCTTGGAGCGAGTTATTTTCTCAAGGTGATGAGAATGAACAGAATGAATGATGCCAAAGGCAGAATTGTTATTTCATCCAAGGCTTCCTTCGGCAGTGTCTGAGCACTGTGCAGTTTTCTTACATTGATAAAGAATTAGAACACAATGCTTGTTTGGAAAATTGTGACTTCATATTGCATCAATATTGTTGTGAGCAATATTTTTCATTTTCCTCCCACTTTAGCTTTTTAAGCCTTTGGAGAATTGGTTGAAAAGCCGGGTCTTTTTGGTGGATACTAACATTAAGCCCTCTACTCTGTCACTTGGAATCATAAGTACCAGAAAACAGCTCCTAATTCCATTGTGTATTGTCTTCTAAGAGAATGATTGACAGATTCTTTTTTTTATTATTTCCTTAGATTCTCCCACACTTGCTGACTTTCTCGCTAGTCACTAGCAGAGTGCTGCCAATTGAAGGCATCGAGTGCATGTTGATTGCGAGCCTCTTTTGTCCATTTACACTGGTTCCTCCAGTGTCTTTGAACTCACACACACACACACCACTCTACTATACAACCAATATCGACTTGCCTTCTTCACTTCGCCTACCAATCTGAATCCTGCTTCTCCTGGAAGTCCTAAAACAAGTAACATCATCCCATGAGCCTTCCCAGAACCTCCCCTGCAGTGGGCTTCTCAACTTCCACCACACCTGAAGTCTACAGAGTAGCACGCTTAGGTCCAGGCAAGAAGACCCCTGCCTTGTGTTTCGGGTTTTCGAGAGCCCAGCTCTGACTCCCTCTGGCCATGGCCCTTTCCTTGGGGCAAAGGGTCCACAGGACCACAGGACTAAGGTAATATCCCTGCTTGGAGCCTGCGCCCTCCCTTCTAGATCATGCTTTGATCTAGACCCAGGGACCCAGAATCTCCTGCTCCAAATGGCCACACAGCCACTTTCAGGGCCTTTAAGCCTTTTTCCTGGGCCTATCCTCTGAAGGAGAGACCACACCACAGGTGTGTGCACCCTGAGACCCATGGCCAAGAAGCAGCTGTCTGGATGTGTGGACTGAAGTGTTCACACATATTTGCATGGCCCTTCAAGATGTGGGACGAGGGAAGTGGGAAGAAAAGGAGGAGTAGCCAGCGGCCAGGGCCAGCTCTCTCACTCTGCCATATTGGGTCACTCTGATTACATCAGTGGGCCCAGGCATAATTCTCAGGTCACTTTGCACATTTCTCCAGCTGAATATACTATGCCCATGTTAAATGTGGGATTTGGACCACTCTGGGTTAGAAGTATGTTTCGCTTTAAAGTAGCACACAAAAGGAGCAGAAAGGGAAAGGTTATTAATAAAATTAATAACAAGTAGGTCGATAAGCTCTATGAGATATACTCTCACTCAGTCTTAACAACAACCCTGGGGAGTTTTATTGTCTCCCTTCAAAAATTAGGGAACCAAGGCTCAGAAAGCTGAGTCCTTCCCTGGTCTCATAGGAGGGCAAGGACAGCATCCTTATGACTCCACAGCCTACTCTCTCTTCACCCCACCTCCCCAGGTGTTTAATCCAGCACCTTCTGGGACATCCATGTCAATCATTCCTTAAAGAGTAACCAACAGATGGACAGTTTCCTCTTTGGGAGTCTATGGTTAACTATGGAAAAATTAGTTCTGAGAGTTAGTTTCACAAAGATTGATGTTCACGAGCTGAGAAGCAGATTTGAAAGACCTACCTGGTAGCATAGAGAGGCCACGCTAGAAACAAGGAGCTGCTCTTCCCAGTCTTGGCACTAGCTATGGGGAGGGGGAGATTGTGAGTATGCTTCTTTGTTGGGGGGTGGGGAACTGGGAGTTCCAAAGACCTTTGTACGTTTTGACCTTGCAGAGCTGAGCAATCTTCAGTTGCTTTTCTTGCTAGTAACACAACTTCCCTTATCTACCATGGAACAAATTTTAATGGAAAACTCTCATTCATGGTATAAGGTTAATGAATATGAAACTAAACAATAATATCTCGTTCTGGTGGATGGGATTTCCGAAGAACAGACATTACACACATATTTGATGATGAGATGTCAGAGTCACAGGGAGCTGTACTCCAGCCTTCTCCACCTGAAGGGACTGAATCCCAGAAACAGCAGGCGACTTAGTGGTAAGAGTGAGCCCAGACTTCCTGTCTCCTCACCCGGTATGCTTCTCCTACAACAAAAATTGCAGGTTTTGGATGAGCAATCCAATTGCGTATATTTTTAATATAATATTAAAGTCCAATCAAATAATATTAAGGTCTAATCAAATGTAATAGGTGTGAATAGTACCCTTATAGATCTGCGGGGTGGAATGGCATCGTGCACAAGAAAGAAGGAGATGGAAATGTTAGGTCTTTAATGAAGTAGGGCCCCCTCATCTTCTCACTGGCATTCCTCCAAGGCCTTTTTAGACGCATTGCTATATAAAAGCCTCCCAAACATCCCCGCTGGAAAAAGCAATAACATTAATAAACTTTTGTTCAGGGGAGGGAACTCAAGTGCAAACCACTGCTCAAAGTTATCTCTTTCTTACTAGGTTTAAGGGAATCTAGTAAATACTTAAAGCACAGTGCGTTTTGTCTGAATCAATAAAGATGAGAGAAGACGACTTAGGAGATGGGAATCAGAACGGAGAAAATTCTAATGTTTTTCCAATGTCCCAAAACACGTATGGCGTTATTCAATCGCCAGGTAAACAGAACACAGAATCTACCAGAAAAAAAAGTAAATAAGCTTTTCAAATTCCAACTGTTAATGAATCAAGAGGAATTAAAGAGAAGCAACATGCCTTCAAAGGATACATTTTCTTGTAAAAACTGGAAAAGAATGTGTGGCACTTTAAAAACACTAAACTGTGTAAGAAACTAGAGTGGGACTATAATGCTTTCTAAATCTATTTGTCTAAAGAAATGAGAAGTGAATCATATTTAATAAGGTTTAGATATGCTCACTCTATCTTCCTGGAATTATAATTTTATTGTAATCAGATTCACTGAATTTTATCTGATTTTACTTGTATCTTAAAACATCTGCAAATAATATAACTTACCTGCATATTTGGCATAATAACACACTTCTTGATTTTAACAGAACCTAGTCCAAGTATTAACCGAATCAAGCTGTTGAAAAGTAACTTTATTGGGCATTTCTTTGAACACACCAAACACTCGGTAATATCCGTCTGGAGAGTGTGAATTTTTCTTTATTTTTAAAATCAGGGCATTCAAAGACGTTATTTACTACAAATAAATCCGGCCCTCCCCCCCCCCCCCAACACACACACACAACCACCTTTTTAAAGTAAAGCGAGAACCCAATCCACTCAAGGCAAGTGAAAAAAAAAATTACGGCTGTGCGCACTGTGCTTGTTGCCACAGAGTAATACGGTAACAGCGGAGATTACGGTACTAGCTGGGGCTACTGCCTGTGTTACGTCAGCGAGAGCTGCAAAGTTCCTTGCCATTCTTTGCAGATGTCGGGGAGCTGAATATTAAAGGGGTGAATGTGGAGCTATTGGTTGGCTGTATTTTTTTTTCCTGTTCCTATTTCGCTCTTTATTTTAAAATCTCCAGGTAAAGCCATAGCAAGCCAAGAGCTTAAAAACATCTGTGGTGGAGGGGTGAGTCAGCGGGTGCAAAAGGACTAGAAATTGGTTCCACGAAGAGACGATACCCTCTCCCCTCACGGAGGAGGCGTCAGGGCTGCTCCTGGGACCGAAACCCCGTCTACTCCCCGTCGTGTGCCGGTGGTGGCTCTGCATCTGCGCTCCAGGTGAGTGCGCCGCGGCGCGGGGCGTCCAGCATGGCTGGGAGGGTGAGGACGAATCTCTTGTGGCCTCCCGGTGAGACTGAACCCCCACTTTCCCCAAGCACCTCCCGCTTTTTTCACCCGCTCTGTCACCGGCATCCCCACCGCACCCCGTTCCCATTCTGGGAAGTTACCTCCTAGTTAACAAGTGTGTTTTTAACCCCGTAATTATCGCCCCGAAGTAGGAGAAAACCGCTTTCTGCGCTTGCTTTTAGTATCACCTGTGAACTCTTGAACTTGTGATTTTCACAATAGCCATTGCCCGGGGGGTCTCACTTCAGGGCCCAAGCCCAGAATCCTTAGAAGGCAAGATGGGTCCCCACTCCAGTACTCCTGCGTGAGTCCCTGGGGTCGGCTTGCGATTGTGGAAATCGAGGTTTCTTAAGCAGACTGTGGCCCCCAGCCCAGAAAATCCGAGGCATCCTCTGTCCACTGGCGAGCGGGCGTGATTTTTACGCCTACAAAATCCGCAGTGACTGCCACCTGCAAAGCCCCCTCTGCAGTGATTCTCACCCCCCCGGCCCCAACTCCTCCCCCTGGACCCCAGCAGCCCTCCTGGGTGTGGCTCGAGGCTCAAGTCCTCTGGGACCGCTGACCCTGTAGCTTAGAAAGGAATCCTGGACCAACCTAGATCGCGTTCAGCCCCGGGGACCCGCCGGGCTTTGCTCGGGACCTGGCCCTCAGGCCGGCTTGGCTGGGCGAGAGACCGGCGCGCTCCGCATACCCAAGTGTGAATTCCTCGGGCGTTAGCGTGCGCGCGGTACTGGCCCTGCGGTGCCCGGGTCGCAGCGGTTCCCTCTCCCAGGCCGCCCCCTCTAGGTGACTGCGAAGCAACCTGTTCAAATGGCAACCGGGTAGATCTTCCAGTTTCCACCGGCTTGGCTTGGTGCGACACACGCGCCAGCGGCAGTCGCGCCTCGCGGGCTTCGGGGATTTTCATTTCGCCGTACCGCCGCTGGTAATCCGGCCGCGGCTGCAGCAGTTTGGGATTTGTTTGCTTGGGATCTTGAACCTCGCCAAAGGCCGCGCGCGGCGGAGCGCGCAGAGCAGGTTCCTAGCGGCGGGGACGCGGCGCGCAGTCCCCTCCCGCGCCACCTCTGCTGCGGCAGGGCCAGCCGCTCCGGGACCGCAGGTCGGCGGGCTGCCGGCCGGGTCCGACCGCCCGTCGAGCCGGGCACGGCCTCGCTCTGCAGGGCGCCTGGCTTACGCCCGCCTTTCTCTTTGCGCTCTTTCAGGAGGACGCGGGCAAACAACGCTCCGCAGCTGCCTCGGTCTTGGCAAACATTTCGCATCCACGACCCTCGGCCTGCGCGCCTGGAAGCTGGATCTAGCACAAGTCCACCGCGAGCCAGCCACACGGTGGGTAACTGCGGGCCAGGAGAAGTGCCCAGATGCCAAAAGCGCCTGCCTTTGAGAGTCGGCGACAGACCGGTTCCTGCTTGTGGTTTGGAAGGAGACTGGCGCTGGATTTTTGAATTCCAAATTATGCGCAGAATGCTGAAACTTCTAACCAGGACGGATCAGACAGTGCAGAAAAGCATACTCCCGTAACTCTGGAATTGCACTTTGCACCGTGTCTTCTCGAACTTCGCGCCAAACCTTGGGAAGGGAGGGAGTTGGGGCCTGGGGCCAGCGCAGCGGGTGGAGAGGGTCCGCGGACAGCTCCGCGCGACCCTGGCCATGTTGCCTTTAATGCCCTGCCCCTTTGCGTGGCCTTCTGAGCGTTTCCAGGGCTGGCCGGGGTTGCTTCCCATCCGCGGGCTCTCTCTCACCCCTGGCCAACCCCAGCGGGCAAGGCTCCCCCGAGCCGAGACCTTTTGACTCCCTGCTCCCCCCGTTCTGGCCTGCGCCCCCGCCCGGGGGTGGCCCTCGAGAGCCGGACCTTGTCCGACCCGGCTGGGACCATGGTGTTTCTCTCCGGAAATGCTTCAGACAGTTCCAACTGCACCCACCCGCCGGCTCCAGTGAATGTTTCCAAGGCCATTCTGCTCGGAGTAATCTTGGGGGGCCTCATCATTTTCGGGGTACTGGGGAACATCCTAGTGATCCTCTCCGTGGCCTGCCACCGCCATCTGCACTCGGTCACTCACTACTACGTTGTCAACCTGGCGGTGGCCGACCTTCTGCTTACCTCCACGGTGCTGCCCTTCTCCGCTATCTTCGAGATCTTAGGCTACTGGGCCTTTGGCAGGGTCTTCTGCAATATCTGGGCGGCGGTGGACGTCTTGTGCTGCACCGCGTCCATCATGGGACTCTGCATCATCTCCATCGACCGCTACATCGGCGTGAGCTACCCGCTGCGCTACCCCACCATCGTCACCCAGAAGAGGGGACTCATGGCTCTGCTCTGCGTGTGGGCGCTCTCCCTCGTCATCTCCATCGGGCCTCTGTTCGGCTGGAGGCAGCCAGCCCCCGAGGACGAGACCATCTGCCAGATCACCGAGGAGCCGGGCTACGTGCTCTTCTCGGCGCTGGGCTCTTTCTACGTGCCGCTGGCCATCATCCTGGTCATGTACTGCCGGGTCTACGTGGTGGCCAAGAGGGAGAGCCGGGGCCTCAAGTCGGGCCTCAAGACTGACAAGTCGGACTCGGAGCAGGTGACGCTCCGCATTCACCGGAAAAATGCCCCGGTAGGAGGCAGCGGGGTCAGCGCCAAGAACAAGACGCATTTCTCCGTGAGGCTCCTCAAGTTTTCCCGGGAGAAGAAAGCAGCCAAAACACTGGGCATCGTGGTCGGCTGCTTCGTCCTCTGCTGGCTGCCTTTTTTCTTGGTGATGCCCATTGGTAAGTCTTTACAACACCTCATCTTAGCAGTTGAGGGAATCTTGACCCTCTTTCCCTTCAGCTGTCCCAGACTCAGTCTGAGAACGAGAAGGGAACTGCGTTTCAAACGGCAAAAGTGGGAGGGTGGTTAGAAAAGGCTCCCTTGTAGAAAAACGAATTTTCATTCCCTTTCTACTCCAGTTTCATGTATATTATTTCCTAGAGCACTTTTTCAACTAATGTAAAGTGGCTTCCAGCCAATTCAGATTAATTGGCCTCCTTAGTAAGAATGTCAGCTTTTCTCACTGACTTCAAGCCTGTTTAACTTAAATACATGGTCCTCTTTCAAGTCTGGGAATCTCTGTCTGCGCCAAGGCAGGGCCTGGGAAGGCCACTTTCACCTCTGCTGCTGTGGACCGCAAATTCCCTAGGCCTGAAAGTAAGCACCATGCTTATTCTGAACAAATGTGTAATTTTATTATTAGATTAGATTATTCCTGAGGGTTAGTTATAATGGTCTGCTTATGTTCTATATCTGTGTTAATTTTATTTTCTGGATTCAGTATGGATGAAAGTGTGGTGAGCCACTGACAAGAAAAAAAAAGATTTTATGTCCAAACTAATTTAAGCCTTAAAGAATTCAACATAGTGTTTCCAATAAGTAAATACTTTTCCTTTTATTTTAATAATAAGTATTAAAGCCAACATGACTCTTTATCTGAAATCATTTGGGAAGCTGCAGATGACAGTATTTGAAAATACTACAGTAATGTTACAAACCCAATTTTTGCAAGTGCTGAATTAGCTGTTACCAAAAGCAATGAGCTCATTGTAAGATCGGCAAGCTGTCCACTCGGAATAGTCCTCTATCTCCGAAAGGCCTGCGTGAGATCCCAAAATGGTTGTTTGCTATTTTTAGTTTGTGAGCTCAAATATAGACCCACACATTGGTTATCCACTAACTCTAGCAAACAAAAAAAATATGATAAAAGTTAATAAAAGTCTGTCTCTGGCACTTTAGAGTCAAATTTAAATGGCATGTTCCTAAAGTACTTTAATTTGCAGCTCTGTGTAATAGTCACCGCTATTATTCTTTGAGGGCCAACTATGTTTCAGACACTTGACAAGGCTTTTTATTTTGTTAGTCCTTTCAACCACTCAGTGAGCTGTGCGTGATTATCCAGAAATCATAAGTCAGGGGAGAGATTCTTCAGGTTCTAGAGCTCCGCTGTCTAGTATCGTAGCCACACGTGGCTATTTAATGTGAGTTAAAATTAAAGAAAATTGATATTCAGTTCCTCAGTCTAGCCACATTTCAAGTGCTCATAGCCACATGTGGTCAGTGGCTTCTGTTTTGGACAGCAGAGATGTAGAAATTTTCATCATCGCAGAAATTTCTGTCCAACAGGGCTGCTCGAGAGGCCCTTCCAAGTCCACTAACTGAGCTTCCATTGTGCCGGCCCATCATTACTGCTTACTTGGCTCCTGGCATTACATCACAGCTTTAAATTTATTTAAATAATGCTCTTTACCTGAGCCACTGCCTGCTTACCTACCTTCCCGTTTCCCATATCCTACTTCCTCCTGAAGTTTGCACCCTTATTCATGCATCCATTCACTCGGCAGGTATTTACTGGGCATTTGTTCTTAGGATGAACAAGGCAGAAAAGTCCTTGCCAGTAAGATGTTTGCATTCTTTTGGAGGAGATAGACGTAAACAAGTAAATATATCCTAAGAAGTCAAAGATTAATAAGCACTATAAAAAAGTAACCAGGATAAGAGGATAGAGAGTGGCGGGATGACAGGGTGGGTGGTCAGGAAAGTCCTCTCTGAAGAGGTAATGTTTGAACAGAGACCTGACTGCAGTGAGGGGCAAGCCTTGCAAAGTCTGGGAGGAAGGGCTTTCTGGGCAGAGGGAACAGCGAGTATAGAGATGCAAAAGAATCTGACTTGTTCAAGGCAGAGCAAAGAGGCCATTGGAGCTGAACTACAGAGGATGAGGGCGAAGACACGTTCAAAAAGATGCTGGGGAGATAGACAAGCTCAAAGTAATGTGGGTCTTTTAGGCCAAAGTAGAATTCGCCTATTATTCTAATCGTGATGAGAAGCCATACAATTGGAGGGTTTTTAGTAGGTTGGTGACCGGTCTTATATTTTTAAAGGGTCCTTCTGGTTGCTGGGTAGAGAGTGGGCTGTTTGGCAGCAAGAGTAGAAGCAGGGAGACCGGTTAGGAGGCTGCTGGAGAAGTCACGGGGAGCGAGGTCAGGCTGCCTTACGCTCAGGTGAGACGGGTGGAGTTGGTGAGAAGTAATCACACTCAGCACTTATTTCAAAGGCAGAGCTGACAAGTTTGGACATAGGATGTGAGAAGAAGAGAGGAATTAAAGAGAACTTCTGGGTTTGGGGCCTAAACAACTGAGCAAATAGTGAATTTCACTGAGACTGGGAAAACTAGAGAATGACACGGTTGAAGGGGCTGACAGGAGTGTGAAGCACGGGTGTTTATTTTGTATAGCCTATGTTGAGAAGTGTCCGTTAGACATCTAAGCAGAGATGCCAAGTAGGCAGTTAGATGTATGAATTTGGAGCTAAGAGGGGAAGCCTAGCTACTATATAAACTTGGGGCATTTCAACGTAGTTAAAGCCACAGAAATGGAAGGATCTACAGGAAAGAAAGTATAGAGAGAAAAGAGAGATAAGAACTGAGCCTTGGGACATTCTAATATTTGAGGGTGGGGAAAAGGAGGAGAACTAGCCAGCAAAAGAAATTGAGAAGGAGTGGCCAAGGAGGTAGGAAGAAAACCAGGGGGGTGTGGTGTCCCTAAAGCCAAATGGAAATGTTTCATGAAGAGAAGCGGGATCAGCTGTGTCACATGCAACTGCTAGACCAAGTCGGATGAGGACTGGGAATCAACTTTGGACTTGGCCATGTGGAGGTCTCTGATGATATGAGGAGGTCCTTTGAGGATAATAGTTTCAGTGGAGTGATGAAGACAAAAGCCCGATTGTGTGTCTTCTTGAGAGAATGAAAGATGAAGTGGGAACCGTGAAAATAGACAATTTTTTGGAAAGGTTCTGCCAGATAGTGGAGTAGGGAAATGGAGTGTAGTTGGAAGGATCTAGAGAGAATTTTCAAAGATGGGAGATAGGATATCATGTTTAGGTTCTGATGGGATTGATGGAATAAAGTGATGCTGGTGGTACAGGCATGGGAAGAGGTGGGATTCAGTGCCCACATGGAGGCCTGGGAAGTGACGGGGCAGCCAGGTTGTATGAGCCCAGAGGCAAGTAGATATGGAGGGAGAAAGGTAAAGATCTCTTTGAAATATATTTATGTCCTCAATGAAATAAGAAGCAAAATCATCAACTGAGAGTGAGGAAGGAACAGGAAATGATGATGGTTTGAGGAGCAAAAGAAGATGTGAAATGTTAGTCTTTGAGGTGAGAGAGTAAATATATAATGGAAATTTCTTAGAGCCACCAGGGAGTCCTGAGGACATGTTTGAGACTTACGGTCATAAATTTAAAGTAAGACCTGTCAAGAAGGTTGTATGTTGCTCTCTAACAGCTAAGAGGCTGAGGATTATAGGGAATGTTGCTGATGACTGACTATATCTAAGAACCATAGTAAAGAGGGGTGTTTGTGAGGGGACATAAACTGGATCAGATTAGGGCTCATACAGAGTCAGATGGTGGAAAAAGGTCAGGAGATGATAAGTGACTGGGAGTTTGGGTCTTCCGGTGGTGACCGAGCTGTCCGGGGAGATGAGCACGATGGGCTGGGTCCTGAGGTCCTCTAGGGAACAGGGACTCTGGTCTAATCACAGCCTCCCTCTTGGATCTGCTGTCTTGGGGGGTTAGTAATGTTGAGGTGAAGATGGTATGGTGGGAGGGAGTTGTGATAAGACAGGAGCTTCCAGAATCCATGGGCTTCCTCTAAATCCTAATGACGTGATGCGACAGGAGGAAAATTGAAAACTTATGTTAACAGTGCCCGACCAGGCTGCTCAGTAGGGCAAAAGATCCCTAAACCTACCAAAAAAATGGTCTACAGTTTCTTCTTGACACCAAATGAGAAAAAGACTATTTCTTCCAGGATTTATTGACTGTGTAATAAGTACCAGGCACAGAGTTAGACAGAATAAAAACATAATCTAGTTACGGAGACAGATTAGGAACACTTATTACAAGTCTGTAAGATTGGTCCTCAAAGTGGTATTACAAGTGCTGAAGAATATAACAATAGTTCACTGTGTCTGAAGGTCACTGCAGAAGCTTCTAGAAGTATTGCTGTTGACTGAGCAGGGACTTGCAGACTGCACTGCTTCTGCTGGGCCATCAGTGAGACGTTATTTATTTTTAGTAAGTATCTTAAGTACATTTTTCATGCAAAATGTGGACGAAAGAATAAATAGGCCATATATTATCATACGCGAGGGACATGAGCTCTTAAGTATGACAAGCACCCTCTTGGGAAGAAGAGGTTATCGGTCTGCGCTAGGCTACCAGAGGACAGTGGGATTAGAAACTGAAACCAGAGCAGAGATGAGTGTGGTATATGAAGCTGAGAAGTGAAGCGCCTGCCTGCGCGTAGAAACTGGCCCAGGATGATCAGGTGAGTGAGTCCTCTCCGTCTTGTCCCCAAACGTCACTCCTGTGAGAAGGCTCTGTCTCCTTATTGCCTCCCCACTCCCCTTCTTCCTGCTCCTTCCCACCAGCTCTGAATTGGTTGCTGGACTAAATAATGTGACTGCAGGTAGGAATCTGACCTGCCTGCTCTCAGGTCTAAGTCTTACTAGTCTTGTTTTCTTTTTGCATCCTAAATGTTTGGTTGAAATTCAGAACCCCTCCAGGGGAGAGGGATTACGTTTGAAGTTGTTATCAGTCATTTATACCTTGGAGTGAATGTTTTTAAAAAGAAAAGTTTTGATCATGGTTATGAATAGAGAGAATATGAAGTTGTTAGCCTTCAACATATGAAAGAAGGAAGGGCGAAAAATGTGCCTCACACAGAAGCCCT